GTCTGGACGAAGCTGTGCCATGCCATATGGGTTTTGACAGGACTTTAGAAATCCCAGTAAAGTTTGCCAAAAATCTTTACCCTAGCATTGCCATCAGAGAACTCTGTCCCTGTATTTAATTAAATCAGAAGCTCAGATTTGAAAAATGCTCCACAAAGGTTGAAAGCCAGAACTGTGCGGCTGAAGTCCATCTCACCACTGTTTCAGTCTGTCCAAGCTATTAATTTCCTGTATTCAGGAAAAAAAAAAAAGTTATAATAAAATGCACAAGAAAACAAGAGTCATGATTAGAAGCATAAAGGTATGTCCCAAACAGGGATTTGGGGAACAATGTGATAATATCAGAGAGGCTTAAAAATGTATTTTGGTCCTGAAATGTAAAGCAGAGCAGGGTTTTAAGGACAGAGCCTAGTTGGTGGGAAAACAGGGATTTATCCTCCATAAATATGTTGTGAGGGACTGGATTATTTTGTGGTTACTGATACGTGCAGATGAATGCACCCAGGGGCAATAAACCACCAGAGCCAGGTCTAGGTGAAGGCACCTGCCTGAGAGCAGCACGACCACAGTGGAACCACCGTACCGAGTCTCTGGCAAGCCAGGCTGGCTGCTGCTGCTGTGGGTGGCATCAAAGTGTGTGGGATGGTGGCAACCAGTGCAGAGGGAGCTGTGGCCCTTCTCAGAAGCAGCAGCTGATGACAGCACTTCTCCCACCCTCCATACAAGCAGGAGCAGCCAGCCTGGCTCCCCGTGGCTCCTTGCTTCCTTTGCCTCTCCATCCCAGCTGCAGCCCTTTCTCCCTCATCCTTCCAGCCAAGCCCTACACTCTCCCCCTGGAAAGGGTAAAGTTGCATCTCATGGGCACATGGGGTGCTTTCGGTTGGCACCCTGTGGCAAAAATGCAGAAGGTGGCTGAGGGAGGGGGGATAAATTAAATGCAGACACCTCTGTTGGTAGCAGAGAATTATTTATTCCCCTTGGGGTTGAAGCGGAGGGTGCTAAAGGTCAGCCTTTAAGAAGGAAACCAGGCTGGTGCACACCCAGAGCAAACAGGACAGGCTGACTTGTGTGCTTAGTCAGCACCCACAGTGTTCTTGTTGCTTTAGAAATACTCTGCGTCTTTCCTTCTCCAGCTTCAAGTGATTGGGTACCAGAAAGTAAACACTGAGGATGCCCAGCCCGGCTGGGAGCTGGGTTATGGCTAAAGGGGTTCAGTGAAGGCAGAAGGGAAAGGTGGGGAGCAGGCAGAGGCTGGGGATGCAGGAGGAGAGCATGGAGGCAACTACAGGGGCTCCAGGACTCCAGTCCACACCCCAGAAGAAGGGACCTGCCCAAAGAAATTGCTTGAGATTATTTGAGTGTCTAACAACGTGGGAGATGAGTCCTCCAGGTCCCTGCAGAAGGGTGGTCTTCCAGGTCAACAGCATCTGGCCTTGTCTGTTTCTTTCTTTCTACTTTTTATTCCTGGATCTGTTTGCTAGTCCCTTCCTTTCTCTGTGAAACTTTTTCCTGAATGACACTGGTGAGATCAAATGTAAGCATAGCTTGGCATCATGCCTGCCTGTCGTTATTTGAATATAGGTGTGGTGAGAAGAGCTTTGAGGCAACTGGAAGGGAAGAAGCCAGCAGCGAGAGGGGGGAGCAGGTAAGGAAGCAGAGTAGCCAGGAGACGTTGAAAACAGTTCAGCAAAGTAACAGCACAAAATGAAAAACCAAAATAGCACAATAAGAGAGAGATTGTTAAGTTTAATTAAAGAAAAAAAAAAAGAAGACATTAAGATATTCTGATGGTGGTACCGCTCCAGTGAAATGGCAGAATTACAACTAGTCCTGAATTTGGGAAGATCCCAGGTGCCACAGTAATTTGTAGACAGTGATGATGACTTTTCATCTCAGCAGTGAAGGAGCGACAGAGCAGTTGCAGAGAGAGGCAGACTGAGAGGCAGAGCAGTGTCAGGTAACCTGCACACGAGGCTGTGTAAAGGCTGCTCAAGGCTTCTGACCTGTTACATCAATTTTTTAAGGAAGTTCTGGAGGACTGGAAAACGCCAATGGAGGCCAGTAATTAAAAGGGAGCGTTTTTAAAGCTCCATCAGGCTGTTGTCATTCCCATAAAAAACAATTATATGGAACTTCATTAGTAGGAAATTAAGGGAACATAAAAGAGTTGACATCAGCTAGCACAGTTTTAAGGGAAATAGAATCTGTCAGGCAAACTCGATATAATTTTTCAATGAGATTATAAGCTGGTAACAGACATCTTTGATGCGTTTCTGTTGGTACTGCATGATGATTTGATTAATAAATTAGAACAATACAAATTCAGCATGCTTATGTCAGTGACTGGTAAGAATAAATAAACTTCTTGTGGACAGGCCTTCACATGGTACAAAGTTTGTGTGGCAGCAAATAATAAGGGCAAGTCCCAGACTGCTCGATAAAACCAGACAAAAGCAATGAATATTCATGTGAAGGTGACCAAATGCCATGTGTCCAGGGACAAAGAATATAGCTCTTCTTACAGAACGGAAAATTTTATCCTGGACGGCAGTGACCTGAAAAGAATTGAAGGTGACAGTGGATGATCAGCTGGACATCAGCCTCAGTGTGACCCTGTGGCCAACAGGACTGACTAATGGTACCCGTGATGGTACCAACACAATGTTGAGGAGTAGCAGATGGATTATATTCTCTTAGTGCTTGGTGCTGGAGCCACTGCTTTCTCTGTCCACTTCTGGTACCCACAGTCTAAGGAAAATCTTGAAATATTGTTGGTTTTGCAAAAAATGCATAAAGGAGGAAATTATTGGAAACTGTGTCTTAGACTGAAAGGCTCCAAGAGCTCAGACTGTTCAGCTGATCAAAAAGCTGATCCCAGATGTCAGCACCATACGTGAACACCAAAAATTTGATCACAGCAGACTTTTGACTCTACAAGGCAAGGGGAAAAAGAGATTTGAAATTTGAAGTCAGAGGCCAAGTGGGATTTTCCATGGCATCAAAAATAGCACTAAGTTTTCCACTTAAAAATGTGGTCAGATTTCATCATAGCTTTAGAAGCTAATTAACACATTGAAAAATCCACGGTTATAAGGTCCTCCTAGGAGGTAACAATATCCTTTTTCCTGCCCATTTGACATGAGTATTTATGAATCTATGAAAATATTCCTGGTGCTTTTGTCCCCATGAGAAAATCACGATGTTTCAGTGGATAATTTAAAAAAAAAAAAAAAAAATTATTCCATTTCTCCATGGTGACTGCTGTTGGAGAACAGATTTCCTCACTTGTGCTAATATGTCCAAAGTGACACCCATTTGGTCTCGCACGACACTGTGTTTGGCAACTGGAGGCCTGATGTGCAAGAGCTGGTGAACTTCACATGAACTAGCAAAGTTTTGGCCAGGCTCTCCTTGTCCCTCCTGCATTGTTCCAGTCATGGTGCATTATGCCTTGGGAAGTTCTTTTATCCCTTTCTCATTTAATTAAATGATGATACAGGGATATTCAGACTGGCAGCTTTCAACCTTAGCAAGCCATGGTGAGGAAAGCCAGAGGCTCATAAAACTAGCTTAGTTTATTTATATATCAGAAGATGAAATGACAAAATGCAAAAGCAGGAACCCTTGGTGGTATGCATAGCTTGGTCTCAGTCCTTATCTTCATCCCCACCGTGCCTCTGGCAGAGCGTAGGATCTCCATGTAAGGATGGTTCCACCACAATCGATAATGCGTGGCTGGGAATGGGACCCTTTCAGTGTTGTTTTCACAACACAAAAGAATAACAATAATAAACTGCTGCTTCCAAAGGAGGGAGCTGCCCGAAGAGCTGCAGAGTTAAACCTCGAGGCGACCTTGACATCCAAAGTTGTTTCTGGGAGCTAGTGGTGGGTTTTTTTGAGGAAAACTGCTATGTCCTTGGGCAAAGATATCTCTTGGGTTGTGCAGCTTGGGGCGGATGCAGTGCAGCTCAGCAGCTGGTGGGACATTTGTGGACCAAGTTGAAAGGTGGTTTGGTGTCAGTGGGGAACTTTCTTTGGGACCACAGTCACAGCACCTTTTCAGGGTGGGGCTGACATTGTTTATGGGGCTGAGAGACAGGATGGGGCAGGAGGAGCATCCCTCATGGGGCAGGGGGATGCCCCTGCTCTGGGCAATGACACAAATTCATTCCTGCTGGCATCTCCCCTCGTAGTGGGGGTCAACATTGTGAGTGCCATGGGGGTGTGCTCCTTCAAGGGGATGGCATGGCATCCCTGCCATGGGGCTATGTCCCTTCAGGTGGAGGACATGGGGTCCCTGTCACAGGGCTGTCCCTGCTCATGGTGGGTGTCACTACCATGGTGGCCGTGTGCCCTCATGGTGGCTGTCATGGCCATGGGGGAATGTTGCTGCCACGGCAGCTGTGTCTTCACACTGGGAGGGCATGGGGTCATTGTCACAGGGCTGTGCCTCGCAGGCAGGTGTAGAAGCCATGGGGCTGCGTCCCCTCAGGGTGCGTGGCATCACCATGGGGCTGTGTCCCCTCATGGGGCAGGAGACGGGGATGGATCCTGCCATGGGGCTGCATCCCCTCGGGGTGGGTGGCATCACCATGGGGCTGTGTCCCCTTATGGGGCAGGAGATGGGGGTGGATCCTGCCATGGGGCTGCGTCCCCTCGGGGTGGGTGTCGTCACCATGGATGGGGCTGTGTCCCCTTATGGGGCAGGAGACAGGGATGGATCCTGCCATGGGGCTGGGGCGTCCTCTCGGGGGCAGGTCGGCAGCCGCTGCCACGGCGGACACCTCTCCTCCGGGCAGCAGCGTCCCCCGCCCCGCCGCCTCCCCTCCGGCAGCACCGGGTCGGCGACACGAGCTTCCCGGGGGCCGCTCCCCGCCGCCGGGCGCTCCCCGCCCCTCGGCTGCCGGGCGTGTCGCAGCGCCGGCGCAGGCCGCAGCGGCTCCCCTCGGCCCGCCCGCACTACATTTCCCGGCGTGCCGGGCGAGGCGGGGCCGGGCCGGGCCGCACGGAGCAGAGCGGCAGCGGGCGGCCCCGGCGCTGATAACTGCCCGGGGTGGAGAGGGCCGGGCAGGTGGGTCGGCTTGGCCGGCCCGGCGTTCGACTTGATGGAGCGGGGGAAGATGGCGGAGCTGGAGAGCCTGGAGACGGCGGCGGAGCACGAACGGATCCTGCGGGAGATCGAGAGCACCGACACGGCCTGCATCGGCCCCACGCTCAGGTGCGGCTGGGGCGGGGCGCCGGGGCGGAGGGGGCTCGGGCAGTCTTCTCCCTGCCACCCTCCCTCGAAACTTTGAAGAAATTAGGAAATGCTAATTATTATTATTTTTTTTTAACAGTCGCCTCTGAGAAAGCGCCCGCAGCCCCCTCTGTTCCCCCTGCCTGGCCGCCCCGGGAGGTGGAAGGGCGGTGAGGGGCGAGCCTCGGCCTGTGCCCGGCGGGGTCTCGGGGTGTCTCCTCCTGCCCGGCCGCGGTGGTGTCCGCTCCCGCGGTGGGCTCTGCCCCTCCGGCTCCAGCCCCCGCCCGGGGCCTGCGCCCAAGCGGCCCCTCCGGGGGCTTTCTGGGTGCCCGCAGCCCCCCTCTGCCTTCCCCGGCGGGGAAGAGGGGAAAGGAGGGCATTTCCCTGCCCTTAGCCCGGAATCTGTCAAAGTTATTCTTGTAAACCGCTGCCCGCCTTTTTTTTGTTGATTTCTGTCAGTTTTGCAAAAACCATGGCTAATTGTGAAGCCGTGGGTATGGGTACAATTACCATCCTGATGATGATATGAGTTAATGCCTCTGTTTGCTTAATGGATCCTTTGTTCTCCTATTAAGCATCTTTTTCCCAGTGGTTCTTGCAGTATCCTTCAGCTGGGAGAACCCGTTGCTTCATCTGTGTTAACTGCTGTGCTCTCCTCCTGCCCGAGGAGCACAGATGGATATAGCTGCCTGCCCAGGAGCACTGTCTGTTCGCTTTTCCTTTTCTTTCTGCTCCTTTCTGCAAGTCTGGGTCTGGCATTTCGACCTTTTAGGTATTTCTTTGTGATGCTGGTTCAGATTTTGCAGCAGTGGCTTCTGCTGCCTTGTTAGTCTGAGAGATGTGGTAGCTAGCTGTTTAAACTGAGGCCTGTGTCTCGTGAGAAATCACCTGATTTTTTTAAAAAATGATTTTTTAAATAAGTTATGCACATCTAAGATCTGTTCTTGCTAGCCAGACCATGTACTGTTAGCATCACTGTCCTGGTAAAAGCCACGTAATAGATTTGGCAAACAGAGACCTCATTCCTCCATCCTCTTCTTCAAAGTGAAACAGAAGTTCTCCAAAGAACTTTAGTTTTGATACAAAATGCATTACTCATGGTGGTGTGCAGAAGTGTGCTTGTTATTCTCTGGAAGGTTGATGGTACAGATGGGTAAATAATGATTATAGCTCTTGTAATGAAATTGACCAGGCTGAGAAGTGGGGAAGGATGGAGGTGTGTTACCAGAAATACTGGGCTTCAAAATCTAAATAGTTAGATTATCCCAAACTTAAATTCGGTGCTAAGCTTTGTTGCTGTTAGTGATTGAGGGAAACACTGTGACCTTTTGCAGGGCAGTGCAGTTGGTTTCACCTTCGTGTTTCAGCTGCTTTGCATCAGCCCAGGAGCTGCTGAACTGGAAATCACATTGCCAAGTGGGAGTGTTTTGGTATAAACGGGACTGAAGCCTCCTGTCCCACCTTCTCCACAATAACTCCTAGTTACTTTTCAATATTTAGGTTTTACAAAGTCATGGTTTTAAATGACTGATGTGCCTGTCTTTAAAAATAAATGAGTTTGACCTGTTTGACTTGCAGTGATACTGCACTGTGAGGGGAAAAAATGAAAATGGGAAAGCTCTTCTTTTGTGGAGTGACGGGGCACTGGATTTTTCTTGCTATAAGGTTGCCCATTTGTTTAGTTTTTTTTGACTTTTTGCAGTTTTCTTTTGGAAGTTCTGTAAAGCCTTTAAAGATAAACTGTATAGTAGGAGATGCTGAGAATTAGATTTATTAGCCAAACTGAAAAAACTGGTTCGAATGTCTGGGAACTACCACAATGAAGAGCGTGGGTGGTTTTTTCCATTTCATAGAACTAAGTGCAGTTGATCTTGTTTCTTTCTATTAAGGTTAGGTGAGGAGTTAGGCTTAATGTCTATCTTTGCATACCGACAGAAGAAAAACTAGTAAATGTCTGGGGCAAAGAAACGTTTGTGTTTTGCTAATTTTAACAGTTGGAGTACATTGTTACTTCTTCAGGAGTATTATTAATGATATAAGTGTGAGCAATACCTGGTCTAAGGATTTTTAGAGTTGAAACTAGACCAGCTCAGGGTAAACATGATGTGCTGGAGAGTCCGGAAAAGAAGACGATGGAAACCTTTTAAAAAAGGTGACTCACTTCTTGTAGCCATCATGGAAGAAATGTGTTTTCAGGAGCCAGGCTGGCTTCCCTTTTAGGAACAGCAGTCCCAAAACGCTGTTCAGAAATAGGCTGGACTGCTGGGCTCCAGCTGCCAGTGGGGACTTGTTTGCAGAATTGCTCTTTTATCAGTTTCTGACTCGGCAGAGTGAGATATTCTGACTGCAGCTGTCCTGTGTTGTCCTGACATAGTGCTCAAGGCTGAATTACTATTATCAAAGGGTGATGGAGGGGTTAAGATGTTAAATTTAAAGTCCAACTAATTCATCTGTCTGGGTGGGTTTGTGTCCCACCCATCAGGGAGAGCATTTTCTGCTAGAAAAATAGCAAGTGTAGTAATTCTTGCCCTGGGGCAGGGGAAGGACAAGATGCCTTCTTGATGTCCCTTCCAGCCCTATTTTTCTGCTCTGTTCTTGCTGTGATTCTGGGAGTCAGTGGAATGGGCCGGGATTCTGTTATTGTGTGGGGCGCTGTGCAGATGTGGGATGAAGCCTGCCCCTCCTCAAGGAGAGGAATTTAATTCTAAATATAAAATGGGAGATGAGGGTGTGCGAGGAAGCATTGCAACAGTCTGTGTGATGAGCTGTGCCAGTCTCATGTCTTGCTATGTTGGTAGCTTTGATGCCTGATGCCACCAAGGTCTCTTTTTTTTTTTTTTTTTTTTTCCCCTTAACCTGACAATGAATGTCATTGTGTTTGAAGGAGGACAGCGAACGAGTTCAGTGAGTCTTTGTGGGGATCCCCTCGAGTCTGTGATGCTCCTGGAATCAAAATAATCCACTTCAGGATGTCTTTCCTGCTATTCAACCTCTACTAATTATATCCATTGCTCCTAGTTCCACTTCCTTCTGCTGTTATAATTCATCTTTTTTTCTCCTGTGTTATGCTGCTTGATTTTGCAGGGTATTCCTCTCTGTATCCCTGACAATGAATGTCATTGTGTTTGAAGGAGGACAGCGAACGAGTTCAGTGAGTCTTTGTGGGGATCCCCTCGAGTCTGTGATGCTCCTGGAATCAAAATAATCCACTTCAGGATGTCTTTCCTGCTATTCAACCTCTACTAATTATATCCATTGCTCCTAGTTCCACTTCCTTCTGCTGTTATAATTCATCTTTTTTTCTCCTGTGTTATGCTGCTTGATTTTGCAGGGTATTCCTCTCTGTATCTAGGCTTCTAAGAATCACTTAATTCTGCAGGATCAGATAACCTTCTAGGGGAAAAGAAACTCTTTCTTGCTTAGAACTACCTCTTGACTGATCTGTGACACTGGAGTGCTCGATTTCTTATTACACTCAACTGACTGGTCAAGTTTGTTGCTCTTCAGCGCGCTTTCTGTCAATTTCAGTATTTTTTTGTTTTGTTTGTTTGTTTTTTTAAGTGATGGGAAGCTAGCAATGGGCTGTAGTATTCTAGCTGTAGTCACTGTGAGGATGCTTGCCTCTCTGCCGGGATGCCTCGGTAGTTTCTAATCAAATTTACTTTTTGAGAAAAAGGTAATCCCTCATTCTGCCGGCTCGTACAGTATTTTCTGAGTGTTTATCCTGAAATAGCTAGCAGTTGCTTTTGATAGGTAGAGATTACTTGCACAGCTGATGGTTGTCTTGCTTTCTTCTGTGCTTCTCTTATTGTCTCCCTTTATTTTAACTTTTCCCTGGCCCTGTCTTTTGTGCTGTACTCCCAGATTATAAATGATTGACTCTAACTGATACAGAATAAAGGCAGGAGAAACCGTGATATTATCTTGTATGACACCCAATAAATGTGGGCTGTATAACTTCACCCACTTTTCCTTGTGTTCAGCCTGTCATCTAAAGATGAGCCTGTGTCATTATGCGAATCGCTAATAATTTTTAAAAAGTTCCTAGTTTCAGCCAGTGGATGTTTTGCTGTCCTTTCTTGGGCTCCTCTGCAGTGTCCTTTAACACCTGGTGTCTACTCACAGTTAAAATACAGGCTTGTATTTTTAAGTCACTCCTTCCTTTTGGTCTTACAGCTTGAGCTCTGCAAGTCTATCACTCTTGAAAACCCTCTCCCAGCTCTAAAGATGCTTTTGCAGCTTTTTTAAAAAGATGAAGGATTTTTAAACAGCATTTGATAAATTAAAAAAGCCCCATCTGGCCGCATAGATGTAGTTACAGTATTCCTGCTGTCACCTCACCACTTCAGATGCAGGTAAAATTACATTGATACTGTAGTAGTCTCCTGCTTGCACACTGAGAGATTGGAGAAGCTCTCTTCTCCAGTGTTATAACAGGAATTGTTACTTAATGCACAGTTATTTTCTTGGGAGCACAGTTCTTGGTAGCTATGGCTGGTGCTTCTCATTGCTACATCTGTACCTTCATGCTTGGTTCTCCTGCGGTGTGAGTTGCTGGGAAGGATCAGGATTTCCAAACGATTGTTCTCTGCGGCTGCCTGATTTCATGGTTTGTTACTCTGCCAGCTTTTGTGTCATCTGCAAATTATATCATCAGTCTTTTTTTTGTTTTGTTTTCTTTTTAGATGTATATTTGCTTTCTAGATGGTTCCTTAGTGGGTAAGATATTATCAGTTATGTTGGGACTAGTATTTACCTGTGCCCCTTTAGAAAACAGAAATGTTGTATCTCAGACAGCAATTAATCATCCAGTCTTTGCTTTTGTATAGAACTATATTTTTAATAGGAGTTTCATATCTGTCTGCTAATTATGTGTGTTTGGAGAGATCACAACCCAAGAATAAATTAAGCACACTCGATAGGGTCGTGTTTCTACTAAGCAGCTCTTGACTGAGATTACAGTAGGACTGTAATTAAGCTGT